CTTCAGCCTCACTCCAAATCAAAGGCTTTGCAACTAAGTACACAACTGTAAAATAGCCCATTTTTGAAATACAAAGCTGCCTTTCAAAGTGTTGTTGGCTTCCAGACCAAACGGGAGAGAGAAACGAGAAATTCATACTCCTGTGTGCACGATGAGCTGCATGGACTGGGTACGAGATCAAATCGCGCATGGAGACTAGAGACCTCTAGATTCTAGGAACATTTCAACCGTGAGTACGAATTTAAAGTTAACTTTTGCGCGAAATCTAAGGGAAAATAAACTTTTTTAAACTCAGTGATTAACAAAGCTTGCAGAGGTGTTGTTATCATAATGAATTTGCCTTTTTGTGACTGAAAAGTTAAAAAAAAAACTCCAACACGTTAGCATCTTGCTTTTATCACTGCACACCAATACGGTCAGCGCACAAGAGAGGTAAGGGTATGTGTTGTCACGTAAAATGTAAGAATTGGTTAAGGCTCGTCCTATAATCATGACGGCTATTGCTTTCTTCCCGCCAAAAAAGCGGCGTTTCACACGCGCCCATTATCTCAATAAATTGGAAAATTCCACTCGAGGCCGTACCTGTCTTAGCGTTCAAATTGGTGTCTCTGATGTCGATAAGAAAGCGACACAAGTGAAGTCATCTTCTCTTAATGAATATCCATTAACATCACAATTTAGCCTAAAATTTCGTCATTTCTTTCTAAAACTTAAATCAAAGGATAAGTGACTGGTAGCACAAAAGTAAGGAGTACAACCGAGTTCTTTCTCTAAAACTCCCCACTACTCCGGCTTCGATCGATCCATTTTGGATCAAAAGACTCCTAGAATTTCCATGAGGCGTAAATTCAGCATTTCTTATCTCTAACTGACCTTTAGAGCTGCTTAACAATGGATAATGCTTGTGAATATACAACTAATAGCTTATGCAGGTGCTTCTGGTGGTCACTGTCTCATAGCACTGACACAGCACATAGAAGTTAAAAACATTACCGGTGCTGCTGGTCTAATCACAGTTCGCACATATCTGTAAGGTTACGCTCAGAAACGTGTGCAACAACCATTATTGCACAGAGGGTCACAACACTGAAAGACGTTGTAGTTCATCTCTCTATAATCAGGAAAAAATGAAGTTTTCCGTTGCTTTGATCATAATTTCTGCAGCTTTCGCTGTATCGTTAGAGACCCAAAAAGGGATTTTAGTTGAAGAACTGACGGAAAATACCTTCGATAATTATCTTACGGTTTCAAACCTTGCAATCGTGGATTTCTTTGCACCGTGGTAAGTTTATTAATGAGTTATCTTTCTATTTTCAAGTGCATTTTTCCCAAAATTTCATGACAGCAATAAAATCGTAATAGACGTTTGCAAAAATTCCATTCAACGAGAGCGAATTCGCCATTACAAGGTTCTTCAAAGTTCAGCGCCTTAGAAATCATTATTTTTTATGTAAATATGCAGGTTATAATTTTCGTTTGGGTTACCAGTGAACCATAGCTGTTTATCATTCGTCTTTCCCACGAGGAAGATGAAAAAAAAAAAAATTAGCAGCATGGCAAAAAACGGGCACTTTTGAAATATTAAATTTTCTGTTAGATTCCCACGTCAGAACCCGAAATAGCTAACTTTAGTTAAATCAAATTTTTCAAAGGAGAGCAAGAACCGAAAAAAATTGTAGTCGTGTTCTCAGCCACATCGCTTAAGCATAAATTCCAACACTTGGTCAACTGCCATTTTAAATACAAAAGAGTGAAACAACCCTATGGCTGAGAGGACAAGCATTATAGCGCTGTCACGTCAGTTCCGATAGCTCAAGTTATTTCTGAAAAGTTTCAGTTTAAATTGTTCACTTGACCCGCGACAATTACCCGTGATGCGCGACCCGGCAGGGACATGCTCTCTTCTTGGACCATTGTTATTTGTTGGAAACCAGAACCGATGATCACGGTAAAACACTTTACGACAATGAATTGCGAAAGGCCTAATTGGTCTAGCGCATTCTTAGCAATCAAGGCCGAAACAAACGCTGATGCCAGAGGTTAACTCGTCCTTGATTGAATATATCTTTCGCCAGTTTTAGGCAATGTAAAGGAAAAAACGGCGACATTCCTTTACTTCAGATACGAAAGCTACAGTCGCCCCACCATTTACCCCACCGTGACTATTTGCATCCTAAAA